AAAGGTAAACATCTTTCTGATATTCTTTGCTTTCACCCAAGATCCATCTGATACCAGCAATGATATCACTCATTCCACACCTTACCTTCTCAATCCAGCTTGAATTGTTGGCAGTTCCTTATCAATATACTGCTGAAACCATTTTTGAATTATCTTCACCAAAATTTAACTTGTGTTTGGTATTAACAATATTGTTCAATTATTTCCATATTGTTGGATCACCTTTTTTGGAATGGGAACAAAAATGGACCTGGTCTAGTCAAATGGCCAGGTAGCTGTCTTCAAAATTTCTTGGCATACATGTTATCCTCAGCCTATATGACTATGAGACCAGAAGAACTAGATGGTGCCCAGCTACCACTATCGAGCACTCAGAGGGGGATCTATGTAGGAGACCCTAGATAGAGTGGGGGAACAGTTTGGAACAAAAAAAGTCATGAAAAAAAGAAAGACGAAATTGGCTCGTCTGATAGAGCCTGCTGAAACCCCTGAGACTATGGCCCCTAGCTGCCCTTCAGGTCTGGAATTGAACACACTCCTGTGGCTTCCAGCCAAACAAATGAAAGGCATATGAGCTGAACATTTACATTAGGTAGATATATGCCTTGGAGAGATCAATCATGGGAGAATAGAAGGGCTATATGTTCACAGGGAGACGACTCAGGGGGCAGGAGTGCATGGGAGGGAAGGACACAGGGAAGAGGTGACTATGAGGAGGAAGTGGGAAGAGGGCTGTTGCATTGTGAGAAATTGCAGTCAATGTCGTGAGACAAAGTGTGTGTGAACTGCTGTATGGAAAATGAATTTGCTCTGTACATTTTCACCCAAATCACAATAACAATTAAAAAGAAAAAATATTCTTGGCATAAACCAATGCTGCATCTGTTTGATGAAATATCTCAGGAGGTAATCTGTAAATTCCTGGAGCCTTGTTTTCCACCATTTCCTTCAGTGTAGCTTGGACTTCTTTCTTCAATGATATTAGTTCAATGTTGAGCAATTCTTTTTGGTACAGTGACTCTGTGTATTCCTTCCATCTGCTTTTGATACTTCTTGCAATTTTTTTTTTTAAATTCTTATTCTGATTTGGGTGAAAGTCTACAAAGCAAATTCATTTCCCATACAGCAGTTCATACACATTTTGTCTCATGACATTGACTGCAATTTCCCACAATGTAACAGCTCTCTTTCCACCTCCTCCCCATAGATGTCTCTTCCCTGTATCCTTCCCTCCAGTGCACTCCTGCCCCCGAGCCAACTCCCTGTGCATACACTGCCCCTCTGTTCTCCCATGACTGATGGCTCCAAGGAGTGTGTATCTACCTGATGTAAATGCTCAGCCCATATGCCTGTCTTTTATTTGGCTGGAGCCATAGGAGTGAGTTCAATTCCAAACCTGAGGGGCAGCCAGGAGCCATAGTCCCAGGGTTTCACCAGGCTATATCAGACCAGCAAACCAATTTTTTTTAATGATTTTTATTTTTGTTCCACGTTCTTCTCCCACTCTATCCAGGATCTTCTACACACATCCTACTCTGAGTGGCTGACAGTGGTAGCCAGGCACCATCTAGTTCTTCTGGTCTCATGATCATATACATTGAGGATCATGTGGTCTACCAGACCCTTGGACTAATTGTTCCCATGTGTCTTTGGTTTTCTTCATTCTTCTTTGCTCTGGATGAGGAGAGACCCATCATCACATCTAGATAGCCACTTGCAAGCTTTTAAGATTCCAGTCACTACTCACCAAGTAGGATGTAGAACAATGTTTTGTGTAGTATGTTATGCCAATTGAGGTTGGTGTCCCCTGCAACCATGGTCCCAAGCCCACATGTCCAATTACTTGTTCCCTCAGGTAGGTGGCTGTGGCCAAGAAGTTACCAAAACCTTGTCCCTTGTCAGCTCTACTATATACCTATACATTGTGCAAAAGGGTTCATCTTTGTTGTCTGTATCTCCCATGTACCTCTCTGTCTTCCTCTTCCTCAATACTTCTTGCATTGTTTTATATTTTGCCCATAGAATCCTTCAGTACTCTAGCTCAAGCCTTGAATTTTTTCTTGTTTTTTTCAGCTTGAGAAATACTGAGCATGTTCTTCCCTTTTGGTTTTCTAACTTCAGGTATCTTCACATTTCATTATAATACTTTACTTTGTTATCTTGGGGTGTCCTTTGAAATCTTCTCTTCAACTCTTTTACTTCAACATTCCCTCCATTCACTTTGGCTAGTATTCATTTACAAACAAGTTTCAGAGTACACTCTGACATCCATTTTGATCTTTTCTTTCTTTGCTGTCTTTTTAATGACCTTTTCCATTCTTCATGGATGATGCCCTTGATATCATCCTACAACTTGCCTGATCTATGGTTCAATATGTCAAGTTTATTCTTCAGACAACATAGCCAATCTGAATATTTACAAGTGATGTTCCAGTTTGGGCAGCAACCTAAAATTGGCTCTGCTCACCAAAGACTGCATGGGCAACTGCACCAGTGGCTGACAACTACAAAGGGAAACAGTGAATAAGGAGATAAGCAGAGCTGTGGACTTTCAGCTGCCTGAGAGGACAGCAATTTTGAATATTTGCAAGTGCCATTCAGATCCAGGCAGCAACCTAAGAAAGGGAAACACTTGGTGAGGACAGCACAAGCAACTAGACTGGAGGCTCACAACTAGAAATGTGCAATATTCCCATGTTACTCTTATACCCTACACCCTCTTGGTGAACAGAGCTGTGGCTATGCCCCACCTCCAATCACCTTCTGGACTGGCAGGAATTCCATCCCAGTCTGTGTGGCCTGACAGAGCCTGGGGGCCCTGTCACACTCCACTCTGATTTTTTTTCTCAATTATTCTTCCTTTCTTCCTTTTTATTTTGTTTTCTCTTTCCCTTCCCTGGTTCTTCTTCGTCTTCTTCTTTTCTTCTCTTTCATTTTCCTGGTTCCCATATTTTTTCTTTCATTTTGTCCCATCCCTTGTTTTTCTTTTTGCAGTTTTCTTATGTTTTCTTTATTATTCTTTAACTGTTCCCCTTTTCTTTTATTCCCCACCCCCAGATATTGTGGCTTTCTTTTTCTCTTCTACTCTTTATCTTTCCTTTGTCTTTCTAAAAATAAATTTTTAAAATTATTCCTTTCATTTATTATCTTTTCCTTTTCCTTGGAGATTTTTTCCTGTTTATGTGGTTGGTACTTTTTTTCTATCCCACTCTAACTGAGAGGGAGACAGCAATCATGTGTGGGCACATGATCCAACAATATCCACACATCCTGCAGTCCCACCCACTGGATGAGGGCCAACAGTTGCTTCTGCACTAACTTACCAATGACAGACGGCAGCCAGTACCTGACCAATTCATCCTCAACTGCTCTTCATGAACATCTAATAGAGATCTGTGCATACACTCTTATTCTCTATCACATCCACCATGAGACAAGTGGTGAGTGCCTAAGTGCTGCCAACAAGGAAATAGAGGAGCACAGTACACTGCTCACTTAGATATACCAAAATAAAATCAGGAAATAAAAATCTTGGACAAATCACACCAGCATACAATCTACAATGAAATATAAATACAATGACAACACAATGTCTTGGAGACAACAGACCATCACAGTCCACACAAAGAAGCAAGATAAAGTGTACAAACAATGAACTAGGATGGAGACCCAGAAAATCTCCAATAGGAAGAAGAAGCATTGGAAATCCCTGATAAGGAATTCAAAAGAATTATATTTAGGTACCTATAAGTCTGGCGGGAGCTCTGGTAGCATAGTGGCTAAGTCACTTGCCTGCTAACCAGACGGCTGGCGGTTCAAACCCACCAGCCACTCCTCGGAAGGAAGGTTGAGCAATCCTACTTCCGTAGTGATACTGCCTC